TCTTGCCTTAAAGTCCATTTTATCTGTTAATAGGGCCACTCCAACTTCTTGGGTTACTGTGTGTATGTATATTTTTTTATCCTTTTACTTGCAGTTTCTTTGTGTCTTTGAATCTAAAATGTGTCTCACATCTTTTAGTTGGGCCTTGGGTTTTTATCCTATATATGTCAATATTGGCCTTTTTAAATATTAAACAAAATTTTTAGTGTGCCATTTTAATTCTTCCGTTGATTTTTTTCCCCCTTAGTGGCTGCTGTAAGGATTACAGTATGCATCTCTTGTGAATATTGGTATAAAAAAATAAAACAGTCCAGGCACGGTGGCTCAAGCCTGTAATCCCAGCACTTTGGGAGGCCGAGGCGGGTGGATTACAAGGTCAAGAGATCGAGACCATCCTGGTCAACATGGTGAAACCCCGTCTCTACTAAAAATACAAAAAATTAGCCAGGCACGGTGGCGCGTGCCTGTAATCCCAGCTACTCAGGAGGCTGAGGCAGGAGACTTGCCTGAACCCAGGAGGTGGAGGTTGCGGTGAGCTGAGATCGTGCCATTGCACTCCAGCCTGGGTAACAAGAGTGAAACTCCGTCTCAAAAAAAAAATAAAAAGAAACAAAAATTAAAATACAACATGGATCTCTTTTTTTCTTAGAGATCTAAGAAGATTCCAGCCTTCTGGAATCTTATACAGGCTGGAATATGGTGGCATCATCATAGCTCACTGCAGCCTCAAACTCCTGGGCTCAAGCAGTCGTCTGCCTTCCTGCCTCCTAAGTAAGCTGGGACTCCATAGTGCCACCATAACCTGCTAATTTTTTAAAATGTTAATAGAGATAGTATCTTCCTGTGTTGCCCAAGCTGGTCAAACTCTTGGCCTCTAGTCATACTCCTGCCAGGAACTCCCAAAGTGCCAAGATTACACTTAGCCACTGTACCCACCCAGTCACAATATGCTTTTTTTTTTTTTGATACACAGTCTTGCTGTGTAGTGGTGCAGTCTTGTCTCACTGCAACCTCTACTTCCTGGGTTCAAATGATTCTCCTGCCTTGGCCTCCCAGTTAGCTGGGGTACAGATGTGTACCACCATGCCCAGCTAATTTTTGTATTTTTAGTAGAGGCAGGGTTTTGCCGTGTTGACCAGGCTGGTCTTGAACTGGCTTCAAGTGCTCTGTCTGCCTCAGCCTCCCAAAGTGCTGGGATTACAGTGTGAGCTACCGCACCCGGCCACAGTATCCGTCTTAACTGATCACAATCTACTGCAGATGATTACCGGCTTAATTCCAGTGAAATACACAAACATTGCTCCACAGTCTCCATTTCCTTCTTCCTCCGTTGTACTATTATTGTCCTATATGCGATTACATTTGTATTGTTATAGATCAATAATATAATTACTGCTTTATATAGTTTTATAATTTCTAGAGATAATAAGAGCAAATCAAAGAGAAAAATGTATTCATACGATGTTTTCTTTCTTTCTTTGTTTTTGAAACAAGAGTCACACTCTGTCACCCAGGCTGGAGTGCCGTGGCGCGATCTTGGCTCACTTCGACCTCCGCCTCCCGGGTTCAAGTGATTCTCCGGTCTCAGCCTCCTGAGTAGTTGGGATCACAGGCGAGCACCACAACAACCAGCTAATTTTTGTATTTTTGGTAGAGATAACATTTCGCCATGGTGGCCAGGCTGGTCTCAAACTCCTGAGCTCAGGTAATCTACTCGCCTTAGCCTACCAAAGTGCTGGGATTACAGGCATCAGCCACCACTCCCGGCCTATATTTATACACTGTTTTCTGTTTGCTAGCTGGCTAGTCATTTCTGGCCCTTTCTTTTAAATTATGCTGAATTTAAGTTACCATCTTGTTTTTACCTTTTAATGTGTCTTATAGGACCAGTTTGTTAGCAGTTAATTCTCTGTCTTTATCTGTAAATGTCTTTATTTTGCCTTCATTTTAAAACATAGCCTGGGTGCAGTGGCTCACGCCTGTAGTCTTAGCACTTTGGGAGGCAGAGGTGGGTGGATCATTTGAGGTCAGGAGTTCAAGACCAGCCTGGCCAACGTGGTGAAACCCCATCTCTACTAAAAATACAAAAATTAGCTGGGCGTGGTGGCGGATGCCTGTAATCCCAGTTCCTCAGGAAGCTGAGGCAGGAGAATGGCTTGAACCCAAGAGGTGGAGGTTGCAGTGAGCCAAGATGACGCCATCGCACTACAATCTGGATGACAAGAGTGACACTCTGTCTCAGAAAAAAATTTAAAAATAGGTGGTGTGTGGTGGCTTACGCCCGTAATCCCAGCCCTTTGGGAGGCCGAGGTGGGTGGATCACTTGACGTCAGGAGTTTGAGACCAGCTTGGCCAACATGGTGAAACCCCATCTCTACTAAAAATACTAAAATTAGGCAGGCATGATGGCGGGCACCTGTTAATCCCAGCTACTCGGTAGACTGAGGGAGGAGAATTGCTTGAACCTGAGTGGCAGAGGTGGCAGTGAGCTGAGATCACGCCGCTGCACTCCACCCTGGGTAATAGAGCAAGACTCCGTCTCATAAATAAATAAATAAATAAGTGGTGGTTTTTAGGACTAGCTTCAGATTCACAGCAGAGTTGAGTGAAAGGTACAGAGATATCCTATACCCAGTACCCCTACATAGCAGCCTTCGCTGAGTGTTAAATTTGTTACAGTCATCAGGGGCACAGGCTTTCTCAAGAAGGTCTGTTAGTAGGGTCTGAGGTCCTCCTAGGGACGTGGCCTTGGGCTGCTGGAAACCTTAGGTGGTCATTATGTGCCAGAGTTCTGCGGCTCTCAGTATCTCTTCGTTTTTATCCCTCTTAGGGTTTATTGAGCTTCTTGGATCTGTACATAAATGTTTCTCATCACATTTGGGGGTTGGAATGTCCAGCTGTTATTCGTATGCTCTTCTTCCGCCTTACCCTGGGACTTGTTTCTGCACATGCTGGAGTGCTTGCTGCTCTCCCGCAGGCCTCTGCATGTCTGCGTGCTTTCCCCTGTCTCTTCTTTGTTCTTAGAGAGATCAGTTCCATTGCTCTCCTTCAAGTTCACAGATGCGTTTTCTGCCATTTAAATTTGCTTTTGAGCCCTGTTAGTGAAATTTTGGTTTAGCTATTATGTTTTTCACCTCTAGAATTTATATTTTACTGTGTGGTTTTTTTTTTTTTGGTGCCTTTTTTTTAATGGCAGTTCACTATATGTTGAATCTTTATTTTCATATTTTCCTTTAATTCTCTGAACATGTTATAACAGCTGCTTTGACATCTTATGTGCTGATTTAGTATCTGAACCCACTACTGTTAACTGACTATTTCCTGCATGTTGATCACACTTCTTTTTTTCCAGATAAGGTCTTGCTCTGTCACCCAGGCTGGAGTGCAGTGGCGTGATCACAGCTCACTGGAGGTCTCAAGCCTCTTAAGTCCCTAGGTCCTCCTGGGCTCAAACAGTCCTCCCACCTCAGCCCCCCAAGTAGCTGGGACTACAGCCACACCACATGCCTGGACAGTTTTTTAAATTTTTGTTTATAGAGATAGGGTTTTGCCGTAATATTGCCCAGCCTGGTCTCAAACTCTTGGGCTCAGGTGATCTGCCCAGCTCCACCTCTCAAAGTGCTGGGATTATAGGCGTGAGCCACGCGCACGCCCAACCCAGTTCATAGTTTTCTTTGCATGTCTCATGATTTTTTGTTGAAAACGGGACATTTTAAATAATGTAGCAATTTTGCATTCTCATTTTTTCCTTTGAGAGTCCTTTGTTGTTTTTGTTTGTTTCTTTGTTTCTGTTGGATTTCCGGGGCTTGAGTTGCAGGATCTGTATCTCCCACATTATGTGGCTGCAGGTGTCTCAGCTCACGTTTCTCTTCTGCTTTTAGCTTGACTTCTAGAGGTCTCCCCTCTGTCTGCCTGACTGATTGACCAGCTGATGATTTGTGCAGGGGTTGCCCATGCACCTTGAATCCACAGGGGCTCCACTGTTGGCTGAGGCACTATTGGCTGTGGGGTGAATGCACTCAGCCAGTTCTCAAGTCAGCTGTGTTGGCCCCTTCCAGCCCCTGAGGTCTTCTCAGTGCATGGACCATGGTCCCCTGGTCAGCCAGCGAGTTGTGGACAGCTTAACAAGCCCTTCCGTGGCACTCTCATTCCAGGATTCTCCCTGTTAGATTTCTGTCTCCTCTGCCATTCACCCCAACTGGGACCTCAGTCTCAAGCTAACAGAGCCGCAGGCTTCCCTGTTCATTCCCTTGAGTTCACTGCTTTTACTGCTTCACCAGGCCGCTGTTTTGGCAGCAGGGTTGATTTGCATTGGTAACCCTGCAGTCGTAGAACTCAGGGGCCCACTGCTGACTGAGCCTGGGGTGAAGTACAGGTGTAGGAAATGGGAAGATCCCAGACAAGAAAGCCAGACTTGCTGTTCTTCCCTGAAGTTCTAGCTGATTTGCATGAATAAATGTGTCTCAGTATTTTCTGGGGCTGATTTCCAGAGCCTCAGAATGGTTGCCTTTGACAGTTGTGTTCAGTTTTACATTGCTCTGAGGGAAAGGAGCCACTGACCTGTTCACTCCACCGTAACCGGAAGTCCCATCTCTGCTTCGTTTTGGAGAACCTGTAACCATTTAGAAGCAGTGTGAGCCCAGTGGAGCACAGCCATCCCCTCTCTGCTCTGTCGTCTTCACCAGTTCCCTTGTCCCTGCCCAGATGTGGGAAGTGAAATTTTCTGCGTTAGGCATAGGACGCAGAACCAGTGGCTCTACCTGAGTCGGTCTGTGGAATGAGGTACACCTTTGCTCTCTGTGCATCTTCTTCAGTCCCAGTCTGTTGGGGTCCCTCCTTTCCCTTGCATGGAAGGCCCTGGTCAACTCAGGGTGTCAGGAAAAGCCCTACTACCTTTGTATTTGCGTTTTTACTACTTGGCAGAATGTGACTGACTTTAAATTCATACCATTTTTTGTTTCACTAAATAATTAGGTACTTTTTTTTTTCTTTCCTTTTAGGCTGAACAAGCTCCAAACACTTGTGAATGTCATGTTTGTAAACAAGAAGCTTCTGGACTGACACCATCTGCAATGACAGCCGGAGCCCTTCCTCCAGGCCATCAGTTCATGAGCCCAGAGAAGCCCACACACCCCGCACTGCACCTTTACCCCCACATCCATGGACATGTGCCTTTGCACACGGTTCCACACCTGCCACGCCCTCTCATCCACCCCACTTTGTATGCAACGCCCCCCTTCACACACAGTAAGGTAAGTTGGGGCAGAAAGGATCTGCAGACTCACTCTTCACTGAGATCCTGCATGAGTATATTCTCAAACAGAAATCTATGAATTAGCAACTTGCACAGGACAGGGACTGCTCTTGATAGGAAGGCCTGCCAAGTGTTTGCTAAGCACTGTTATTTTGAACCTTTGCAGTTGTAACAGGCATTAAAAGCAATTGTGAACGTCATAGTTCCTTTATTCAGAATTAAATAGAACAGAAGGATTTTTCAGGTGAAATTTCTAACAGGTTAGACCTAGGGAGTACTTCACACAAGACCTCAGTTACCTTACTCGTGGTCCTCCAGGACCTTGCCCTTTTTCTTAATGTGATCGGTGAGTCCTCTTACACTGGCTGGACTCTACAGGGTCTAAAACGACTGCTTTTTTAATATGAAAATTAAGGCCTTGTAGAAATGCACAAGCCTATATAAAGGAGGAGCCCTAATTGTGATCCCACAGAAAATCATAGCACCCTGCAGGTTATGGAGCACTGGGGAGGGGAGGGCACAGATGGGAGAAGTTGCCAGAAAAGCCCATTCAGGAAGTGGAGTGAGGATTTAGAAATAAGTTGATTTTTATGCATTTCTTCTCAGAGAACCTCGGGTGTATATTTAATATCATAGACTTTACAGTGAAATGTTTAGGCTGGTTTCATTCTTTGGCCCTCAGCTTTGCCTTAGGTAGCTTTGCCTCTCTAGCTGTTTTGAGCTTACCTATACCAGAATGACTCACCGTGATTCTGATTTTTTTTTTTTTTTTTTAATTTGTACCAGTTATTCTTCTCCAAGGGTAGCTCTAATCAATCAAAAATAGAATTTTCCGGGCGCGGTGGCTCACACCTGTAATCCCAGCACTTTGGGAGGCCGAGGTGGGTGGATCACCTGAGGTTGGGAGTTCAAGACCAGCCTGACCAACATGGAGAAACCCCATCTCTATTAAAATATACAAAATTAGCTAGGGGTGGTGGCACATGGGCTGAGGAAGGAGAATCTCTTTAATCTGGGAGGCAGAAGTTGCAATGAGCCGAGATCGCGCCGTTGCACTCCAGCCTGGGCAACAAGAGTGAAACTTCATCTCAAAAAAAAAAAAAGGAGTACATATCCTTAGAAAATTTTTTAAAAGTAGAATTTATTCCAAACTCTAATTTATTATTTAAAACAATGATTTTTCAGCTGGAACAGGAATGGAGGAGGACATGACATGGAACGATTATTTTTCCAGACTGCATGTGTGTTTTCTCCCCACTAGGGGTCACTGTGAAGTGGGGTACATGTAGTCCATGAGTGAGGTTTGTTGTCTCTTTGCTAGGGAGAGGTGTATTTGGAAGAGTAACAGACACAGGATTAGAATAGAGTGCAGTAAGTCTGTCACATCTATTGTGCAGTAAGTCTGTCACATCTATTATAATAACTTGGCACAGCCATCCAGATTCTTGCTTAAATATTGTTAGATTGAATATTGCTCAGTTTGAACATGTAATAATATCTTAATAATAGAATGCTTTCTTAGTAACATTTTTCAAGTATATAGTCAGAGCCACGCGATCTTCATGGTCTGCCTGGTGTGTAGCCTGATTTTCTCTGGGTACATGTGTAAAGTTAGGAACTTTTCCATTCCCTGTTGTTGCCTGAATAGGGCTCTATTACCTAGTTCCAAGAAAAGATTATAAAATATTCTGTTGTATATTTTTGTTGGTGGAAGCTAGGCAAGAATTAGTTCCTAAAAGTACTCAAGTGAAATATTAAAACTGATTATTACTCAAGTCTTTGGGGACTGTTTGGTTAAAAACGGATTATTTTCCCTGGCTTTTGGCCTATTCCCACGAAATCAGAGGTCTATGTATGGGTGAAAAGAAGAAGAACCTATTTTAGGAGCATCATTTGTATCTAATATCTGTTCTTTTGATACTTGTTAAACTTTAATCTTACAGAAAATTTGAAAGAATATTGGATAGAAAAGCAAATATGGAGGTCAAGCCATATGTGGTAGAGGTTGTATAGGAAATTTAGGAATTTATAACTAAACATTATTTCTACCACTTTAGCAAACTGAAGACTGTTCACTGATTCATTTAAAATATGTTTGGTGGTGGCCATTTTTATATGGAAACATAAGGTACCGTTATCAAAATATTTCATTTTCATCTGATATGAAAATGTTTGTTTCTGTCAACAAACTGGCGCTGTCACCAGATCTTACAGGGTTAGTGTGTGGAGTTGGTTTGACTTAGCTGGATGTGCAGCCCCGTCTGTGTCTGCATGCGTAATGTGTGAGCAGCCCTGAAGGAGTCCACCTTCAGAAAGCAGACGAGCTGTGTCAGAATATCACACGTTCCAGTGACGTTAGAGGAGGTTTCTGAGAGATGATCAGCAGGATTGTTCGCAATGTACTCGGGAGGCAGAAGGCTGGTGCTGAACGTGGAGGGGCCTTGCACGCTTCTGACCTGCCGCTGTGTCTGCCTTCGCTTTTGCACTTGGGTTAGGGAGCTTCTGCTGTGCTGCAGCACAGTTGTTGCCTTTGACATTATGCCATTGTCGTTGTAATTCTTTCACTTTGCATCTTCGGTATTGTGGGTAAATATTTAGTACCTAAAATGGTTAGCACGAATACTATGAAAAATTTATTTTCTGTCCTGTCATGGTAGCTCACGGCTGTAATCCCAGCATTTTGGGAGGCTGAGGTGGGAGGATCGCTTGAGCCTGGGAGTTCAAGACCAGCCTGGATGACGTAGTGAAACCCCATCTCTAAAAAAAAAAAAAATTCTTGAAATTAAAAAAACTTGAAGACTAATTTCTGTTTTCAGGTGTTTTCATACCAGTGACATATTGAATTTATATATTGCGTATAAGTTATTTCAAAGTTTAAAGTAGTTGCTGAGAAAAATGTAGTAATGAAATACTATATAAAATAAAAGAAAAACTGTAAGTGCCAGGGAATTTAGTTTCCAAATATTTGGGGATCTCACAAGTACCATTTTGTTACTGATTTCTATTATATTCTATTGTGATCTAAAAGTGTACAGTGTATGATTTCTGGTTTTTTGAGTGTATTAAGGTTTGTTTAATGGCCCAGAATTTGTCTGTCTTGGTGAAAGTTCCATGTGAGCTTCAGAGGAATATGTGCTCTGTTGTTGAGTGAAGTGGTCTTCAGATGTTCATTGGGTCCTATTGATTGATGGTGCTTGAGTCCTGTCAGTCAGCAACTGTGTTCTGATTCTCTGCCCGCTTGAACTGTTCATTTCTGTGGAGGGCTTTTGAAGACTTCACTGTGACGCTGGATTCATCGGTTTTTCCTTGCACGGTTCTATCAGCTTTTGCCCTACAAGGCTGGATGCTCTGTCGTTGGCATCACACACATTGAGGATGGTTACTGCTTCTTGGAGAACTGACCCTTTATCGTTATGTAATGCTCCTCAGCACCACTGGTAACTTCCCTTGCTCTGAAGCCTGCTCTGCCTGAAATTAATATAGCTCCTCTGGTTTTCTTTTGGTTTGTGTTAGCATGGTATATCTTCCTTCGTTGCTTTACTCTTTGAAAGGATTTGTGTACTGTGGTCAAATACCTATAACATAAAATTTACAATCTTACCCATTTTTAAGTGTAGAATTCTGTGGTATTAAATACATTTATAAAGTTGTGCAACTATCATTCATCTCCATGACTCTTTTCATCTTGTAAAATTGGAAGTTTTTAACCCATTAAACAGTAACTCCCCTTTCCCCCACCCCTGGGCACCCATCATTCTACTTTCTGTCTTTATGATTGTGACTACTCGAAGTACCTCATATACGTGGAATTGTACAGTATTTGTCTTTTTGTGACTGGCTTATTTCACTTAGCATAATACCCTCAAGGTTTATCCATGTTGTGGCATGTTGCAGAATTTCCTTCCTGTGTAAGGCTAACTAATACTCGTCATGTGGCTGAATCCCAATTTGTGTCTCCATCAGTGAACTCTTGAGTTGTTTCCATACATTCTCTGCTGTGAACATGAGTGTACAAATATTTCAGGACCCTTCTTTCAGTTATTTGGGGTGTATACCCAGAAGTGGAATTGCTAGGTCATATGGTAATTCTATTTGGAATTATTTGAGGAACTGCCACACTGTTTCCTACAGTGGCTGCACCATGTTACATTCCTACCAACGTGCACAAGGGTTTCAGTTTCTCCGCATCCTCACTAACACTCGTTATTTTCTGTTTTGCTTTTTTTAATAGTAACCATCCTAATAGATGCAAGGTGCTGTCACATCGTAGGGTTTTTTTCCTTGTGTAAGTGACCGTAGACACATTGTAGTTTTGTTGTGCATTTTCATAATGTTTAGTAATGTTGAGCATCTTTCATGTGCTCGTTGACCTTTGTATATGTTCTTTGGAGAAATGTCTATTTAAGTTCTTTGCTCATTTTTGAATCAGGTTTGTTGTTGTTGCATTTGAGTTCTCTCTGTAGTCTGGATATTAGTCCTTTATCAGATAGGTGCTTTGCAAGTATTTTCTCCCGTTCTTTAGGCTCCCTTCTTACTCTGTTGGTAGTGTCTTTTGATGCACATCTAAAATGCTTTCATGCAGTCCAGTTTGTCTGTTTATTTTTTGTTGCCTGTGCCTTTGGTGTTACATCCAGTAAATCATCGCCAGATCTAGTGTTGTGAAGCTTTTGCCCCATGTTTTCTTCTAAGAGTTTTGCTCTTTCCTTACATACAGGTCTGTGATCCATTTTTAAGTTCATTTTTATATATGGTATTAGGTAAGGGTCCAGCTTCATTCTTCTGCATGTGGAATGCACTGTTGTCCCAGTACCGTTTGTTAAAAAGACTGCCCTTTTCCTGTTGAAGGATGTTTCCATCCTTGTCAGAAATCATTTGACCATATATGTGACGTTTTGTTTTTGGTCTTTCTATTCTGTTCCATTGGTCTGTATGTCATGCCAGTACCACACTGTTTTGATTGCTGTATCTTTGCAGTATGTTTTGAAATCAGGAATTGTG